TCACTTGACTCGGGATTCGATTCTTTCGAGTCGGCTGGCACGTGCTCAAACTCCAGTTCGGCCGGCGAAACCTCCGCTGTATCTGGATTGGCAAGTTCAACAAAACCAGTGCGGAATACGGGCTCGAGGGGTCCGATACGATGGGTGGGTTTGGCAGGAACGGTAAACTTGAAAGCCCCTCTGACGGTAATCAAGGAAGGATCGAACAGTTTGTGGAGATGAGGCTTTAGCGGCGTGCGGAACGAGTGAGAGTAATCAGCCGCAAACGAACCTCCCCGACGCAGGGACAAGAGCAGTTCCTCAGGATCTTCTCCTGCGGGGAGTTCAAAAGCCTCTCTGAATAGGGCGATAAACACCTCATAAGAAGGGAACGACATCCGACCTGGTTTCCAGAATGTACCGACCCACTCCAGAGCCTTTCCAGTGAGCAGTGAGCAGATGAATGAAACGCGGTCGTCATCCGAGGTGTACAACTGGGGCTGAAGATTCATGTATACGCTGCACTGCTGAAGGAATCCTTCACACGCCACAGGTGAGCCATCAAACTTGTCAGGAAATGCCAGACTGAGATAGTCAGATGCGGTACTCACACTGGGTTGCGGTGGAACAGGTGCAGCGGCAGTTCGGGCTTGATTAGCCGTTGTGCTTGAGCTCTGCGTAGACCAGGTTTGCATGGAGCTTGCTAGTTCCTCGAGGAGAGAAGTTAGTCTCGCCAACTGAGAACGATAAGAGGCTAGCATGGAAGCTCGGGTCTTGACCACGGTGGATAGATGCTGAAAGTCTGCTGGATCCATGTTTGGCGAAGTATTCTGTAACGTACGGACAGAGGCGGTCGGATCCATGTGCAGAACTTTATTAAGAGGGAACATCAGAATCGAAGTCAAACAGGCAAAAGTCGGGGCAGGCAGCACAGGTTCATAAACAGAGTCCAGATAACAGGCTAAGGTCAGGAATCCAGGGAAATACAAAGAACTAGAAACAGAGAATAATGCTCGGAATGGTACGCTTACGCTATACAATACTTCGCACTGAACACAGGGAAAACACGGGCTTAAGACAGGAAAACTTAATCAGCTTAACAAAACACACCTGAACATAATAAACGTAATGAGTCCATAATGAAACATAACATAAAGAGAGAGAGTGTCCTCCAGTGGCTCTCGAGGGCACTACAGCTGCCGATCGTCACACTGTGGAGCACAAAAGAAGATATTTTGAAAAATGACTTGTGTGAACTACCCCTTTAAGCGGTACAGTGGGTCATTTAATACCAATAATACACTCATGTGAGTGACTTTTATTTTGTTTCCTCACACTAATGAGGACATGTTGTTTGTCTCATTAACTGAGAAGCTGCAGATAAGTCCAATCTGCTATTTCTCACCCTCCTCCAGAACAGACCTCTGTAACGCTTCTGGTGTGTAGGTAAAAATCAACCAGTGAAAATCAATCGCATTTCTCAGAGGAGAGGTAGATTTTTTCTCTTTTACTCTTTGATGTTGGATTATTGCTAAGGAGCTGATATTTGGTTACTAAGATGTTCTGAGTTTTTTTTTTGTGCATTCCGAAACTGTTGCTAGGGTGTTCTGAGTGGCATGGCAAGTGGTTGCTAGGGTATTCTGGATTGTTGCTTACTGGCAAAAACACCCACCCATAATGTTGCAATATAAATAAAAGGGTTTTTTTCTAATAGGAAGTCTGATCCCTTTATACAGTCTGATAACTTATTATGTTTTAGTAAATCGTGGACAGAACAAATTTATAATTCGTGGGATCAAATTGTTAATTTGTTACCGATATATATATATATATATATATATATATTTCCGCATGTCATCATGTGGATGGCTCCGTAAACTTAGAAAAGTAACAGCACATCTCTCCTCAATCTGCATGATTTAAGGTGTCTGTAACACAACTAGTGCAGGACGATTTATGTTTAATACTTAGGGTTGATGTTTGTTTAAACCCCATGGGCCCTATCTTGCACCTGGCGCAAATGACTTTGTACACTGGCGCATGTATCATTCCTATTTTGCACCCGCGCAAAGCGGACTTTTCCCTCCACAGACACATGTCGGTTAACTAAGAAATACACTTGCGCTCCCTGGGGCGGTTAAGCGCAAAGAGGAGGCGTGTTCCGGCGCAAACTTTCCCTCATGCTATTTTGCTGTTCTATAAAACAATTGCGCCACTGACCAGAAAAAAACTAGTCTAAAGTCAGTGGCGCGTTGTTCATAATGCTATTTTAAGCGCGCGTGCTTGGCCATAATGTAGCGGGTGCTCTCATCAACACAGATGCAGCAGTTTTTATTTTTGCAAATCATACATTATAACAAGGAAAAATATTAACACATGAGGGAAATCATTGTGGTGTCCATGAAGATGTAATTTTGTTTTGTTTTTTTCCTCCCACGCCTGTTTAACCGATGCTGATTTGGGTGGGTTTCTCCCATCCCCATACAACGTCACTTCTCTGTCTTTCACGGTCCTGACAAGAACGTCGGTCTCCTCGGCTGTGAACCGCTCCTGGCGCGCGCTTGGTAAATCCGCCGTTATAATAGCAATCCGCCATGCAACAAGCGCACCTGCTCTTAAAGGGAATGTGAGATGACGCTCTGATTGGTTTATTACGTTACGCCCAAACCACACCTATGAATAATGAAGCTACTTCAGACCAACCCCTTTTAGATTTGCGCCAGGCGCAAGAGGCATTTATCCCGCCGGGAAAATAGCAACAGCGCCGGGATCCGCCCACAAAGTTACTTGCGCTTTGACACTTGCGTTTCAGATCGTTAAAATAGGGCCCCATAAGTAGAAGCAATTATTCTTCAGATAACATGAAAGCCTAAATTCAATCTGTTCATCATATAAAAAGATCGAGTCTCTTCAGAAAATTTGGACTAAAACACTCAATGAACACTCAATTCATTTGGAAAATTTGGACTAAAACACTCAATTCATAAGGAGTGAATATGGAGTGAATATTTTACGATCTCTTTAATGAACTGTTTGATGCGTTTCTAAGATGAACGAAAGTCTTTGGTTTGGAACGACATGAGGGTGAGTTTGATGACAGAATTTTCATTTTTGGGTGAACTATATAACTTAGTTGTGTAAATGGGCACTATGTAACAAATTGTGCAACCAAATTAAGTACAAATTTCTTGTAGTTACTAACCCCCTACTTCAACCTTCATGTCCCAGTTTAAGGTTGATAAGGTGCAAACCTATCCAGATGTGTTAAAACAGCATGAAAAGCACACGAAAATAGTATAGCATATTTAGCACAGTTCCAGATAAAGTAAATTGCATCTAAAAAATGTTTTTTTTAAACACTGGCAAAGTGGTAAATAAGCTCTCAGGAGATCCTGGATTTGTGCTGAAGTCTCAAGAGTTGCACAGGCCACACTGAAAGTTGTGTCGACGGCAGCCAGGGTATCCACCAATGTGACCCGATACACAAGGCTTCGTATCTCCCTGACCATCCTAAAGTGAGTGGTCTCACACATGTTAGATATTCTGTTTGGGCCTGCGTGCTGGTCTCGAGAAGCACATCCAATCCGTCTCACAAGATCAGATCACAGAGCGAGATTCCTTTGAATTGGAGTGAGTGACAGGCAGTCTGGCTGTGATGCTATGTTCCCGTGTGCCACTGGCCTTTAACTATGGCTTGCGTGAATGCCATCTCTGAGTCGGTCCTGTCTCAGGCCATCAATCACCACAACCAGATCAGCCGACTGGGGCTTCTGCCTGAGATGTGTGAGCCTCAGCCCTCAGAGGGATATCTGGGGTAACATATTGGTTAAAGTTGAACTGATGTTTTGTGCTATGCTGCACTACTGTACATCTGATCGACTCAAAGAATCAATTGCGGGTTTTTTTGTCAGAAATGGTAGATTGTTCAGACAAATACGTAGTCTTGTTTCACCTCACTGGTTGAGCCAGTGTTTACACAAAATATATGCATAAAATATATTTGCATAATATATTTTAAGATTAAAAGACATTAATACTTTTATTCAGCAAGGACGCGATTAACTGAAGACTGGAGTAATGATGCTGAAAATTCAGCTTTGATCATAGGAATAAATTAAATTTGAAAATGTATGAAAATAGAAAATCGTTCTTTTGAATTGTAATACTATTTAACAATATCACAGTTTTTACTGTATTTTCAACAAATATTTTTTTTAATTTATTGCTTCTTAACATCTCATGTTGTGCAACTCCCCAAAAATTCAATTATATTTATATTTATAAAAAACATTTACTTTGAAAAATGTTTATATATATATATATATATTTTTTTTTACAGATTTTGTGAAATTTAATCCTTATAAAATAATAGTTTTTCAAAAGCATTTGAAACCTATGGAGCCCCTAAAGGGACATTGTGAAGGAAAAAAATAGGACCGAAAATTATTTGTCAATGCTTTTGCGTTCTCTCGCAAATGTTTTGCGTTCTCACAAGAAACGAGCGTTTGCGATTCCCCGAGAAACGTTGAGTTCCTTCCCAAAAACATTTGCATTCTCCCGAGAAACTTTGCGTTTGCTGACAAAGAGCTCAAAAGGCATAGTTTCTCGGGAGAACGCAAAACTGTTGAGAACTCTGAAACATTGACTTATTATTTTTCCTCCCATCTCCTATCTTTTTTCCACCACCATGCCCCTTTAGGGTCTCCGTAGAAACTACCTGAAATAATGTCCTTTGTAAACAATTGTAAGTTAAATTAATTTAAAAAACGTGTCCAGTCTTAAACAGGGAATGCAGAAAGTATTTCAACACTGCAAAATGACACACTTCACTTTCAAGGCCCAGGATTATACAATACTAACCTATACGCTGTGAGATCCTTTGTAAAGAGCTGCACAATTCATATATATGTTAGTGTAAAGATGCACATTACACACACTATGTACCACTTGCACTCTTGACAACATGTGCAACTGTTCACTGCACACAGTTAGCTCTAGGCTATCCGGGGGGATTTGTTTACCTTGCACCTCCTTGTCGTTTCTAAACCATCGGATGTCAGCAGCCGGTTTGCTGCCAGATGTGGTGCATGTCAGTGTGACGTCCTCCCCCTCCTGGGCAGGTCTCGAGAGGCCTGTGATTTCTGGTTTTGCTGGAACACCTGATATACAAACAGAAGAGGAGGATTATAGGCAGCACTGATGGAAACATGGGTGATTCTATGATTTCAGCCCCACACCTAAACATGAACTGATTAAGAGGAATATTTCTTGCTTGAAGTTCAAATGTGGCTTGACATTGTTTTTGATAATACATATATTTTTTTAGTTTATATATATGTTTGTCAGTAGATATATATCAATTCTATTTTCTACTTTATAGTATTTTGTCATTGTATTAGAACAGAGAGCAATTGGATGAGAGATAAAGATTTTGGTTTCTCCCAAGGTCTCTTCTAATGTACATTAAACCGAACCCTACAGACAGCTGTTCAATGACAAAATCATATCTGGGGGGATTAAATGGATGTTCTGGGTTCACTGCTTCTGATTACGATGGAAAAGATTTAGACTCGTCCTAAATTAAAAAAACTTTTTATTTCAGTATTGCACAATAACAAATGTTAAAATTAACAATTAGCCAAATGACTTAAGCACTGTACATGTTAACATGGGACTAGTGTGTCAGAATTGTTAATTAGCCTTGTCTTTGTAATGGTATATATTCAATAACCATGTAAATACGCTAAAGCCGCAATAACGCTAAAGAAATTGATCCACTTGTGAAAGTATTCCATCTCTGTTGGATGAAAACAAAATAATTGCCTGTAAAGTTACTTTTAAACAATATGCATTATGAAATGTGGTATACAAACAAAAGATAAAAGTGGTCCCACCACAAAACAACAATTGCATGTAAAGTTACTTTGGTTGCACTTTTTTTTACAGTACATGCACTTACAATGTACTTACCTAAGAAAGTACAGGGTAATGGGTTAAGGTTAGGTTTAGGGGTAGGTTCAGAGTTAGTACCTAGTTATTACCCAGTTATTGCAATTACTATAATAAGTACATATAGTATGTACATGGGGAACAGGACTGTAAAATAAAGTTCTACCGTTACTTTTAAACAATATGCATTGTGAAAAGTGGAATTCAAACATAAGATAAAAGTAGTCCCACCACAAAACAAAACAAAACAAAACAAAAAACAAGCATTGTCAGTAAAGTTACTTTAAACAATATTGTTACGTTATGTTTATTTTTCCTCGAGTCTTTATAATATCTGTGTATGCTTTTTGATGTTTTCTTTGAGTGTCAGATCATCGCTGTTTTGCCGCCGCTGTGCTGCCGCCTGCCAGCGGTAATTGGATGATCAGCTGGCGGTCCTTTTAAAAACTCCTCTTCCGCTTGACAGAGGGAACTGTTGGGGCTTCGGGTCGGTCGCAATGGCTCAGACTTCCTGCCAGATCAAAATATTCTTTTCGTGTTTCTTTTGGTTGTGTGTTTTATTTTGAATGTGGTAATGTAGGAGACACCTGCTCTTTTGTTTGGAACTTATTTATTCTATGTTTTTGGTGAGCGCAGTTATAAGCTTTATTGTAGTTCATTTTCTTTTCTTTGTGTTAGGTTATTTACGTTGCTGTTTAATTTCGTTAGATTGGGTTTTGTTTGTTTTTTGGGGCCTTGGGTCTCTCTCACGAGAATACCACTCTATTGATTTATTTCTCTATTCATTTTTGTAAATGAATTCTACTTTATTGTTATATCATTTTCGTTTGGGACGCGGGTCCTTCTAACGAATACTAACTGTTTATTGTTATTTACTTTTGTGATTCACAATAAATGTATATTATCATTTATTGTTTTCGCCTTCTTTTGTATTCGCCATTCGGTTCTTTTGATCTGACGGCCTGCTGGAAGCCTTTCGTACCTTTTTCTTTCATTTATTGCGTCTTACCCCTAGTGGACGTAATACATATGTATAGTTAAAAGTGGTATATGAACGTGTACAGAGTAAGAAGCGCACAAGCTGATTATAAACCAAAGCAGTGACACATCTAATGTGAAAATATCTCCTTTACATCACTCTCTGTGTCACCAAAGGGCTAAAAGAAAACAAGATCATGTGAAGGAAGAGAACACCCTGACCCAAGATCAGTGATGAGTGTGTTGACCTTAAAAGCGCAGATTGATGAGGATGAGAGGGAGACTGATCTATGAGAAGTCTTACCTAACACAGTCAGGAAGGCCTTGGAAGTCTTGACAGGCATGGTGAAGAGCGAGCATGTATACTGTCCTTCATCTGACAGAGTAACGTCATTGATGCTGATGGTCAGCTCCTTCCACGAGGCTCGAACCAGTTCAATCCGGTTGTCCCTTAATGCTAAGATATAAAAACAATAGCTAATCAATAAGATAAAAATGACATTAGAGAAACAGTCAAAGTCACATTGCCTGAAGTGGTTCCATGGTAAAGTGTTAGTATCAACCTTAGTATTTCGATTGGTGGCATGTGTAATGGAATTGGTCGAAAAGGATTCAGGACACAATTTTTTTTATTTTTGTCCCCTCAAAACATAAAGAGTAGGCATTTAAAAATAATATCTCAAATGAAAAAATAATGATAGAAATAACAAGCTTGAGGCAATGAGAAACTCATACAAATGTATGCCACTGTATGCTGTATGCCTCTAGATAAAATACACATGTAAATATCAAGGGGAGAAATGGCTAAACAAACCAAAAAGACAAAGAAAGACATTCTCTTGCTCAAACAAGGATGACACAATATACTCGGGAGACCGGGGATAGTTGTCACACTTTTAAATCCAGTGAATATTTCTCAGCGTGGGTTTATTTTTGAAAGTAAATAAACAAGAAATAATAGTAAAAAGTTTATAATGAAAAGTGTGCCCCTTTCTGCTTATATTAAAGTTCACGTACTAAAGTTCTTAATCAACACTGTCAGCATGCATTACACATCTGTTACACTATCACCATTTTTTTATGTACCATAGTGTCACATGGTATTTGAAAGTACATTAAAGAATATCAGAATATAGTTTCCCAAATGAAGCTAAGCAAGCAGGGTATAGTTTAGTCAATGCCTGGATGGGAGACCTCCTGGTGAAAATAAGTTGTTGTTTTTCTGGAAAGCCCTGTGATCTGCATCCCCAATATAGTGATGCAGACACTATACAGTAAAATACAGCATCCTTTGAATTAGAAGTAATATCTAAGTCCTGATACTCTAGGGGCATTGCCATTTAAAATGAACACCTGAATCCTGTCCAAATTTGCCCACTGGCTTCTATCAACTACAGTTTGAGAAGCACTAAATATATCAAAATATTAGTGCATGGAACATGTCCAAAATACGGTAGTACCATGGTACGTTTTATTAGTGAACCACAGTGTCTTTTTGTAAACATTTGAGGTTTTCAAGTTGAAATATCTTGGAGGTAAAGCTTGAGACTTGTGTTCACTTATTCATGACAGTATGAATTATTCACGAGATTAGTTTGTACACATAATCGTGACCCAAATGTTTTTGAAAGTCCCAATATTATGAATATCCACTGCGATTGACTGTCACCTTCACACTGAAGCCGTTTGTTGTCTCTAACAAGAGTTTCAACCCTTTCTACCTCTCTGCCACAAGCAGCCATTCATTCATTATGTTTGCAATTTCCAAGAAGAGCTTTCGGCAGCTGAGAGACTGGTGAACAGAAAGGTCACCTTATTCATCACCTCACACTGTCTGAAATGCACAATCCACTTGTATTTTGTTGTTTGAAAAAAAGCAAGACAGACTGAGACTTTTCATTTAGCATCTTGTACACTTTTTGCTTCATCTAAGTTGACCTTTTGGCTTTAAAGTCAGCATGAAAGCAAAATTGACTCTCTTCATTTTGTAAGTGCACTTTACTGGTCTTATTGTGAGCAATTCCATGCACATGTTTTCTTTTTTTTAATAAATTTATTCTGACCTTGTAATTTTCAATCTCAGTTGAGACAGTTAAGCCAATTGCATTCAGATCTGCATCACTTCCGATAAACAGCGCTCACAATCCAATAAACGGATGCATAAAATCAAGTCCCACCCTTTTTTTCTTTCTTCAACAAGCCGTTTCACTTGGAAACATGTCACAATACTGAAGTGGGTTTCAACTTCAGTTTCATGGACACTTTCCAGACATATGCTATGAATTGTATAGGGTGTCTAGACATGGTTTTGTTTCAACAAAAGCGTGTTGACTTTCGCGCTTTGGTCTCTGCACTCAAAAAAATGGTTTTGCGGCACTGTTCTTTTTACCCAAATATGTTTTGTTAAAGTAACACACATATATTTCTTTTACCACCAAAACACTATTGTATTGCGTTTAATTAACTTAACCTGTATAATTTTCAACTATACTTAATTATCATTCGTTAAACTAATGTAAAGAGTTTAATTTTGCGATTCAAAAAACCCTGGATGTGACTATTTCCTACGTATTGGATGAAGATGCCGGGTGAAGAAAGTTTGAAAGGTGCATGGCCTCAGAGAAAATATAAGGCAAAGTCTTTCATTTCTGTGAGTATTTCGGAAAGTCTGTCCTGGAATGCTTTAAATATATTGCAATGAAAAAAAATATTTTGGCTGCTTGTTCAAATTGCTTCAAATGAGCTTAAGCAACACAATTGCAACATTTTGTCCAAACTTAATTTGATTGTGTTCAATCTGCTTAAATATGTAAAACTAAAGTTTACTTAATCCATTTGTGTTGGATTACATGAATGATTTGTGTTGCATTAACTTAAACTGGGCGGTGGTTGTTAGTTCCCAGCATGCTTTGCATATAGCTGAATTAAGAGAGAATAAATGTTGAAATTAAGTGTTATTTTATGTGTTTTTGAGAAAATGAGGAAAGGGGAAGACTTTATAGTGTGTAATTGTGTTTAATTTTCAATTACATTGCAATTATTAGAACCATTTAAGTGGGTTACCATTGTGGAGAAGAGTGGAGCATTTGGTTAGGATGTGGACTGATCATTAAAATATAACTCTTGTTGCTGAAAGAGCATATACATCTTAGCATTTAATATGTTAATAAGTGATATTATAAGCTAATAGCAAGTATAGAATTTCAATTGAGAAATTATATAAATTCTACATACTTTTATTTGTCAGTGAAGATTTAAATAAACTAAAGCATGTTCACTAAACTTAACCGGTTTAAGTTACAGGGAAGCAATTCCATTGATTTGTTTGGACTCATTCAGTTGTGTTGTCACAACACAAGGAGCTTACATAGATTCAAAAAATCCCATTAATGTTAATAAAACGCAATTTGCTTGTGTGGAACCACTGTCCATAATTAAATTAAGTAAGTTTAAAGAGTAATTTTTTTGAGTGTGTAAACTCTGTAACACTGGGGAATTCCACACAGACGTGTTCAACGTCCTATTGGGAACATTGTTACATGCACACACTGACATGTCAAATCAAAAAAAGGGATTTACTTACATTGTGTCGTCTTTCGAAGCCTTTTAAAATGTACATTAATGTTAAAAAAGCAACGTGTCTCCAAACAATATAATCTGACGCTACAAGACAGCACCTTTTTAGAGGATGTGTCAAGACTGTTTAAATATTCCTTCTGAATGTGTGCTGAGTTATGAATAGAGAATGAATAGAGGATTTGTGGAGATGGCAAATGCCTAGGGGGGAAGGGGGAATGGTTTGGCATGGAGACACAGCGGAATTGGATAAAGGGAGGAAAGGTGATCAGGTCTGGGCTCACGCTACACATGGGCCTGCTGATAGAGTCCAACGAAACCCGGCGAGACAAGGACCACCAAAGCTTATGAACATATGACACATTTTCACCAGCCCATATCCCTCTATCTTCCTCAGACACAGAGGGAGGAATGGAAGAAAAGAGTGCGCTCTCTTGTTGTTTACAGAAAAGACAAACACACACACACTCATACGCCGAACATCACAAAGGTGATGATAAGCTGCCAAGGCGAGGAACAGTCGCTGTTTGTACCACAGCCGAGGGTTGATGGTACAGTGCCTAGACTCTAAAATGCTTGGCGATTTCCATTCAAGTCGTACAATGATAACATATAGGGATGTGGGCGTTGAAAAGAACGACAGAGAAGAGAACAAAGATATTGAGAGGAAGAAAAAAGATCCACCCACACAGAGTCTGAAATTGACTTCCTTCAGTGGTCAAATCTGTCTCTGCGCCAGGGTCAAATGAAGATGTGAATACTACTCTCAGAGAGAGCTCGATACTACAATCTCGTGATGCGCTGGTTCATTTCACTTACACTGCTACATTTTATTCTGACACAATGGTGTCAAGCTCAAAACATTATCCTGAATCCATTGACAGAAACAAGTATACAAAGGTTTGAATAACCCTACAGACAACTGTTATCAATTCAACTCAGGCCAACAGGGACTGGCAAAACTCTGCATCCACATTTCCAAAAAAAGAATCGAAAGCCTGCCAGATGCCCAGAGTTAGCTCCAATCTGTCACAACCTCCGTGAAATGCCAACGTCTGACAAAGCTCTTTTTCCCAGAGCTTAAATAAGTCGACACGATGAAATGGTGGGTTTCCAACATCCTTCTGACTTATTCAACACAGTTTATTCCACTTAGAGAGAACGTATAAATCCTTCGATTTGACCTTGTGTCCTCCTCTATCTTTTTCGGGGAAGAAGGGAAGGCTGACTTGTAGATGACCTGACAGACATCCCAGCATTCTCTTGGGCTGGAGCAATCTGACAACTGCCTGATGGTGCGAACCCCTATTTAGCATCTTTGAGTTGTGCTTTTATCTAAAACTCAATATGGCGTACAAATAAAAACTTGGCGAAAAAAATTACAGTCGAATTGAAGAAGACAACAGTGGATAATGGAGCAGATTGTGAATGTTATTTCCAAGGTCGTTAGTGCATGCGAATGTCGGTGCGGTTGGATAATATAGTGTGTTTAGATATATATGGTGTTGTTGGTCTTGGAAGGAAAAGAACTGCCAACAAAATGTCTTCGCACCTTTCTTGTGAACAATCATTTGGCAGTGCACTTTGAGAGACTCCTAGTACTTTTCCGCACAAGGCTCTGAAACCACATTTAACATCCAACTTTGGAGCCGAGCTTCTACTCTGACATAATCAGACCACTCCATCTGACGAGGAGACGGAAAACGGGCGACATGAGCGACAGGCCCTGAGGCTGTGACTGTCCCGCAGCTGGCAGCACCGATCTTGGCATTGACACATTTGGAGAAGCCAGAAGTCCCACTCTCTACAATTAGACTGCTCCAATGGCCAGCTGTGATTGGTCACTATCTGGACAGGCTGTGATTATTGTAGGGACTTGAG